ACTGGACTCAAAACTCTGTGCAACCTGGTCTGACCTTGGAGTTCACCCTGCTTTGAGCAGGAGTTTGGACTAAAGACCTCGTGAGTTCTCTTCTAACCCTATGATCCTACAATTGTGTGATAATCTTCCATGCATTACAATCCCCTGCCCTGGGGAGCAGCTGTTCATCAAGTGAAAGAATACAATTTACTCTGACTCCAGCTCTGAGAGTTGGCTGCTCTGCCTCCACCACGGTATTACCTGTAGCCCAACATTTCAAACTGCTCATACAAGCAGAGATGAGCACAGGTCTCATCTCAAAGATGTTGACTACCAGTGATTGCTCTGTCTCAGCTAAACCAACACTTGAAGCAAGATCAGTGTCAACAGCATTTTAATTTAGAAATTATGCTGTCAGGCCAACAGACTTTCCAGAGAAAGTAACATTGCTGGTTTCATGAAAGCAAGGATTCATTTGAATACCAGCATAGTTTCTGCCTTTTCCATACGTGGTTATGCTTTCATTTCATTTGATTTACTCTTAGAGCATAGGATGGTCATTGTATGGAGCTCTTTGGAAAATTTTGACAGCACCCAATTTGTGATCATATGATAAGAGGTATTTTCTTCAAAAAATAGCATTGCTTTTTCATTTAACCTTCAGATTCTTTAGTGTAATTGCTCAAATTGGAAAGGGTGGTCTCAGCAATGCCACAATGCCAGCTAAGTTCCCTCCTCTCCTTACTAAATACTTCTAAAGCTCTTGCCTTGTAATTAAGTCATCTGCTGCTGTCAATGACTCGTTGAGTTTGCCTGCAGTAACTGTAAAAGCCAAATGATTGTTTGCAAGGAGCGGTCTGGAATTAGCATGTTAGTCATCCCAAGTATTAATTACAGCATATTTACAAAATAAAAGAACTGAAAGTTGATTATAGTAAACAGCTCTGCCAGTGGCCATCTCTAGCTGAAAACATCTGTAGCTACATGAAAAACTGGCTCATGTTAGATGATCAAAAACATGTGAATTCAGAACAATTGATTTTGTTTTTCATTCCTGTTAACAACTGAATTTTATTTTTTTTTTTTTACTTAATTCAAGAGTCTGTTGGCCAGTCACTATGGAATAATATCAAAGCTTAAGAGCCAAAAGAGCTAGTCTGGACAACAGCACTTGTCAGTGTTAAGAGTGAATTTCAGCTCACTGTAAAAGCCTAGAATAAAGAAGACTTTTATATGTTGCTTGAAGTTTCACTTCACTGAAGGAGAATTAGCGCACAAACCTTATCTTGACTTCTTGTATAGGAAAGGATTTCACACTCAGGGCTTGAGATAGCTAACTGCTATGCCCCTTAAACACCCTGGCAGATCTAACAAAAACCACAGATGCTTAAAAAGTAGTTATTCCTGTATCTGGTGTCTCACTGTCCTTAGTAGACTGCTTCGTAGCCTACATCTCCCTGCCCACATGTCTGGTTCAGACAATGTTTTGAGCTCTAAGACTCAGTGAACTGGAGTTATTTCTCAGCGCAGTTACAAAGTTCGCAAGAACATATTAATAGTGGCTTTAATGCATACTATTTATTTAACCACTGTTCCCCGCTTGTCTGGTACGAACTGGTTGTCTTCATTCACTGACATATGCCAGTTGGCCTGATTTTGTTCATAAATGTCAAATGTGATCCTTGCTTCTTTGTATCATCCTGGTAAATGAGTCATGCAAAATGATATTTCTCAGTGCATACACAACTGTTCTTTCATTTTTTGCTTTTTGTTTAGAAGTCATAATCCTAGTGACACACATAGGAAATGGACAGTTGCTTATGCTTCCATGCAAATATTTTACCATATGGCTTGGACAGCTGACTACACATCACATAGCTTCAGTAATTAGCTACACAGGCTTTGCCCTGTGCTGTCCAGTAATGACACTAGCTATTTCTGCCTAGAATAGACCTTGAGGAACTGAAGGTTGCAGTGGCTGTATCTGGACTCCATAGAAGACTGACAATAAGAAATTATTTAGGGAGAAGAATGTTATTCTCAGAATTTCCATAGAAGTTCTTGAAGACCAAAAATCATCTTTATTTTAAATTTTAAAACTGATCAAGAACTTCACAACGAGACATAATGTTTGTAAATGCTAGATGCTGCCATGTCTAAGTTAGGGCTTGTAGAACTAGACACCTGTGCTTCCTTCCTCACAGAAACAAACGCGTCTGAGGTATACACTTACGAGCACAGACAGCTTACTATGGAATACATATCATGCTTACCACTCACTGTCTCTCTTCCCCTCTCCCAGCAAGTCCCAGATAAAAATACAAAGATGTCTTAGCAGCTCTTGAAGAAGCTGTTGAACAGGCACAAGTTGTAGCCCAGTATATTCAGGAAAAACAATGCTGGTTTGTTGTAGTAGTTTTGTAAATTGTGGTGGTTTTCTGTAGTGGGACCAGTAACATCCAGGATGATGCTGGATAAGCTAAGGATAAGATCATAGCTGCGGTCTCAAGAGAAGTCAGCACCAGGTATTAGGCTTCTCAGAATGGAGATCAGAAAAGCTTTGTGCTGACAAGTAAGTGAGGAAACACACCCTCTGAGAGCATGGACCATAGTGTCTTTGACCTCAAATCCCTTTAGTAAATGTCTGGGTTAGGGTTTGAGGAAAGAGCTGGACTGAGTCCATCTGAGGATCTTCTCTCAAAAAATTAAGCAAAGCTCCATTTGCTTTTAAAATTCAGTCACTACACATTGTGGATTGCGTTGAACAAAGATGAGCCAAAAAGCAGACCCAAATCTGGGAGAAAGCACTGGACAGTTTGAATCCCACCTTGCCAAAACATCACCACAGTGTTTACAACAAGACTTATGTGTGCTTCCTGTCTCCGGACCCGTTAGCCTTGAATTTTTTGTGCGCAGTGGAATGGAGTCAGTAGGAGAGAGAGAACTTCTGTCCCATATCCTTTCCCTGCAGCGGTTAGGGGACAGCCCATAGGTTGGTGGTTTTTTTTTTAATGGATGCTGCTGTAGTTTAAGAGTATAACTATCACTGTATTTTGTGAGGTCCTGCATCCTGATGTTGTATATTATCTGCTAGCTATTGCCAAAAAGGGACTTGATTAAACTTAAATCAAATAATGCTATGGCTAGGCCAGAGATTAAAAAATTATGTCTTCTAGACTGAGAGAAAAAGTTGCTGAGGAAGCTTACAGTTCATTTAG